GCGTTCAAGGGGGATGGGGCTCGTCGACTTTTCTTCGGCTTTCTCTTTGATATCCGATACCCGATGTCGCGGCGCGGTGATTACAAACGAAGTAGTGGGGATAGCTTCGCGTCTATAGAGAATCCGAAAACGCGCGGCTATAGAGAGACAATACTGTAGTTCGTAAATTTCCTGTACGAAGATAAAGTACTAAGCATGCATATTATTAATTGGGCATCACTAGTTCGTTAATGTTAAAAAAAAAAAAACAAAAGATATCACTTTGTAAATAAAAGTAAGACAATGTGATTGAAAACAACATTTGGCAAAAATAAATCGGAAAAATTCATACGAAACAAGGTTATTTCCATTTATAGTGAATGATCGACGAGTGGGAGTAACTGTGTACAAAAATAAGTAATACGAGTTCCCGCGTGAATTATTCATTAAAGTAACAGTGTAACGTGTTTAGCACATTTCTACACGGAGGAAACAAAAGCATCGGGGGAATGCCAACTACGAAATTACAAGAGCAAACAATGCGCTATCGGCAATATTGTAACCAATTTCAGGCGAACGACACAACGGGGTGAAAGCGTATCGTCGACATATTTGACGCGTTTGCCTCGCGTAAACGTTCGGGCGAAAGTAAAGTTCCCAGCGGGGTTAAATAAAATCGAAAATGATCAAAGAAGGACGGAATGCGCACATCGGCTCGATTGCGCGAAACGCGACATAAACGTTATGCAAATACGCAGAGTTCACGAGCCCGGTGGTATCGTATCGAGTATCACTTTTTTTTTTCCTCTGGCACTCATCAAAGGCTATTTTTTTTTTCGTTTAATTCATTTTATCGGATCGATTGCGACATAACACGTTTTTCCTTCGTTGGCGCCCCTTTTTATCCATTTGCCGCTTCTCGCCCCCTTCGATTCCTTCTTTTCATTCGCCATCCCGACAATACCTTGCAAATATGCTTCTTAGTTTGCAACATGTTTCATCTCGTTCGATCTATTACTTTCTATCGAAGAGAGTCGAAGGATAGAAAAATTTATTTCGAAACACGAGAAATTGTTCGTTTAAAATTTTGGTACCGATAAGTTTATTTAATTATTAATCTTAAATATAGCTTTCGTTCAACTCCTTTTTCGCGATAATATTGTCATTGGAAATGATCGGATTATCTATTCCTATCTTGCATCGAGTCAAATTTGCATTATTAAAATTCCTCGCCATGACTAAATTTTTTAGACTAAGTCGAAGCGTGCTCAGGACAAATTGAATATCTAACAAACATTTTGCTGAACTGTACGTTTCTACTATAACTAGAATCGCCACGTTTTAAAATAAACTTTGAAACTGATCCCTCAACCACGAACTTTTCAAACGACAGTAAGTAATGAACTTTATCCAATGTCGACAACAATGAATTATACAATGCTCGTTTTTGAAACAATGAGACTTTTCACAACAATTTTAGTGAATTTAATAAATCGCCATCGAGTGTCATTCGTTGTGCGAATCGATACTATTATAATTAGTAGATTTTTAAAAATTTCTTATTGCTAACTGCAATTTGATTCGTCGATCAAGTATATTTGCTATTCTTTGTTCGGGCGCACGTGCGCGTAATTCAGCTCGATGATGGCGCGTGTTCGAATCGTTCGTGTACGGGCCAGGAAAATGTTGGAAACTCGTAAAACGCGTTCGAATTCAAAGAGCTTCGTAATTAGTCGACGTGAACACGTGTCGGCCATGATGAAACAATCGCGGCCTTTCCCGTGCCATTTTCTTTTTCACCGGCGTTTCGCAAGCGCTGAATAAGCGTGGCTCGAATTCTTTTTTAACGAAAACGTCTGGGTAAATGCACGTTACTGAACGAAATTTTTACGCGACACGTACGACTTTTCGTCCCTCCGTCCGTGACTTCGAATTCCATCGAATGAAATTAAATATTGCCACCGAATGAACCGTCCATTGCGCGCATCGGAGCGAATTTATGTTCGTTGCCGTAACACGCGATCGATTCTGACCATTGTCGGACGCAATTCGAAACAAACAACGAATAGAAACAATAAGTAACATTTTGTTCGTTGGCAGAACAGAAGCGTTTATTTCGGAATCGTTGGAAATTGTAAACGATTTGACGTCGCGATGAAAGAAGACTTTAGACAACGTCAGTTGATCAGAACTCTGCTGCTGAGCAATCACAGTTCGAACATCGACGTGAATTAGCAGGTAACTTTCAGTTGGACGCAATCGGTTAAGGCAATCAAATATGTCAATATTATAATCAAATAGAAGAGAAGAAGAACAGCTAAACAACGCGTTCGCAGACTGCACCGATATTCCGTTCCGTTCGGTTCGTTGTACCGAAACGAAACGACGAAGCGTATCGCTGGGGAACTATTTCGATCACTATGCAGATGACTAATCGGAAATTGACGGAAGTTTAACCGGAATACTTCCCGTCCCCCCAGTCTCGCCAGTTATATGCTCTTTCAATTTTCAGACGTCACTTCTTTGACGTTCGCTGCTAGTTCTGGCGTGAATTTGATCGCGGATGGTATTACGTCGACGTCGACTGGTGCATAAAATAGGATGAAGTTCCTGCGCTGTCTAGGTATTCTCATTTTCTGCTGAAAAGCTTCTAATTGCTCCTAATTTGTTCTTAATTGCCTACTTTACATACTCTAGCAACGCTAATATTACACTGCGAATGGTGCTCGAATCTTTTTATAGAAGGGATTAAATAAAGTTAATTCCACGTGTGAAGTCAATACTTTTACGTTTCGAAAATTCCATTAACCATCTTAACGAAATCGAAATTATTTTCTTATCGCTTTTAAACTTCGTGTACGAGCACGAAAAAAACAAATATTTTTTTAAAAGTAACATTGTGCCACGTTTTACATTAAGAAATTATTCGTTCGTTGAACTTTGAAGAACTGAAATAATTTTTTTTTACGTTTTCGTGTACGCATCTAGAAATTGTTAGTTCCAATTTATTGTTATAACACTGAGATGTACAATAACCGAATTTTTTTTTTCGCCGATATTCGATACGAGAAATAAAATAGGAGAGTTATCGCTTAGTGATCGCGTTAGTATTCCGAACGTAACGAATTCTTTTATTTTTGAACGTTGGCGCATTCGAGGACTATGACCCGTTTCCAGGAGGGTCCTGCGGCTCCCAATTTCGCGAGTTTGCCTATCGTACCGTTGCATCTCTTAAACTTATTTAAGTTTCGCCATATTTTATCTGGGGTTGGACGATACTTCGAAGAATACGAGGACGAACCGCTTGAAATGAAATCGCGCGGCTATACCTGCGCTATCGTACCAGTCTGCGTCGAATTCCACGTAATCTGCTCGAGTGTCTTGGCTCGGAGGATTCCGAAAACAGTTTAGGCAGTGATAAAAGAACGAGCCCCGAATGAAATTCGACTTACAGATGTTTCAATTGTTATTCGTTTCCGTCCAGCTGTCTTCCAAATCAGACAAACGAAAACGCTACATTGCTCGTAATTTCAAAACATTGTAATCGATGTCAATTTCATTCTACATTTTCCTGCGATCTGATTCTTTTACAATATTACTTAACAAGGAACAGAAGTTTCTTTAATTCAATACTCTTTTTATTCGAAGTAGAATAAGTCATTCATAAGCCCGGTTTAAGTAGTCATATATCGTTCCTGGTCAGACATTGACGACACTGGTGACGTCTACTGTACCTTTTTCATTTATTTGTCGAATATCTCCGCAAAATATGATGCAAAATTCCATGGGTACCGCGCATGATATGTTGCCCGATAATTTCGGAAACCACCGCATCCACGAGACTAATATCGATATCAGATAATAAATTATCAGTTTTTATCAAACTGTTTTGACGCCTAAGTGAAAGAGTACGTATCAATTACAAGAGCTCGTCTTACTGATGACTATATTTATTAACTATGGAGTCTTTAAAATGTTTCTTAAGTTTCTAGAAGCGAACATTAATTACAGTTCATAAGTTACCGGATATTGTTGATACAAGACTTCTTTGATTTTTTATTAAAATGTAATTCAACGCTTTTCATTAAAACGTTGACATTTTCAAGTTGTTTACCCACTAATAAACCCGGAGATTGTTGTGTTTTATTTCTTGTAAGATTCGGTTTTATTATATGCTAACAAAAATATTCATGCAACCAGGCTCAATCACGATCAAGAAAATTTCTTTCGAGCTTTGATACAATATCTATTTGTTTCAAATTTCTATGAAATGTTGATGTTAGAATGTTTAAAATTGCAGAAATCCTTTGAACTGACAAATTTTGTTTGGTTTCTATTAAATTACAAATTTTATTACGAAACGACCTAATATTTTGGTATTCGTTTAAATATCTCTGACACAATATACTTTGTATAGCTGTGACGAAACGGTATGTATTTTCCGTTAGTCGCGCGAATGGTTCAAGATGCGAACCTGTTAACGTTTTCCGTGGCTTCCGGTGGTTCGTGTTAACCCGTAGGTACACGACGTCCAATCGAACCCGCGTTTTGTCGCGAGTGTTATTTTGGCTGATTTATCGGCGAGTCGCTTTCGTTGCCGGGTAGCTCGATATCGGTTTTCGTTGCTTTGCTTTTTTTTTTCCTTTTCTTTTTTCCATTCTGTTATCCTTCCCGACCATTCGAGCAAAGCTCTCGATCACCGGCAGCGTTTATCCTCGTTGTACAGCCTTCGTAGTGCGCGCCACTACTTTCGCGTTTCCCCCCCGTCCCTTTTCCCGTTCTCGATTGCCTCTGAAACGTCACATCCTATGACAGACTCGACGCTTCCTCTCTGCAGCGAGCACCGAGAGGACGCCCGGGTGACTGACCATTTGGAAGTTTGTCGTTTCGTAAAACCCGTGCAACGCGGACGCAGTCGGTTATGAGTGGATCGTCGAAAAATTCCGTATGTTCGTACGTCGAGTAACAAGCGAATCATTCGTTTCGAGCATTTTTTTTTCTTTTTTTCGTTTCTGTTACAGATTCCACCATACCGGTGGGCCTTTGTCTGCTGATCGAAAAGGGATTGTCGGTGGTGAGTAGTCCTTTCAATAACGGATTTTAACTGACGCGCGGGTGAAACTCAAAGTAATGCATTCTCGTGCTAATATACGAATAACGAGAGACGCAACGGGGATATTAAAAAACTTTCTCGCGGTCGGCGTAATAATCTCGGTTTTAGTTTTGCCAGCGCGGGTGCCCGGAAACGGAGCACCCGGAAAAATGTAAATCGAACAAACAACGTCGAAATCGCGGACGAACAGCGCGACGACGTTCGAGGTAAACGGCACCAAAGTTGAAAAAATATTTTTCATCCTTTTGCGTTGGCCGCGTCTCGTTTTTCTTTTTCATCTTTTTTTCCTCTCTCGTGTTCTTTTCTTTTACTTTAGTTTCTTGCAAGCGGCGCGCTACTAAACTAAACTAATAATAATATCCCGAGCACATGGCGTCGTCGGCGGAAAGTTTGCACGGCCGCGGGTAAAAATGGCGAACGACGACGACCGGGGCATTTTTCTCGTATCGCCTGAAACGACTTTCGCCGCTGATCGACGTGAAATATAATAACAATAATCGACAGAATTAATTAGCAAATTGCACTTGAAACTTTGATTGAATCACTGTAAGTCACGAGATACAGCAGTTTCCACTTAAATATCCGTTACCTTCGCCCCCCATGTTTCGTTAAAATCGAATGTTTACATTAAAAAATTGAAAATTGTTTCAATTTTGCAATGTTAAATTAATTGGAAATCGAGTTTTCACGGAGCGACTCCTCGTGTTGAGCTCTCCACTCGAAACTCGTGAAAATGGAAATTTAGTCAAGTACACTTGGAACTCGGAAAAATATTTTTGACGATTCAACGAAAAAATATACCGATAGTTCATTGATTTATTATGGAATATGGTCATGGGTAATAATTTCGAAATTATTTTTTTATGTTTTTAAACCAAGTGTTTACAAGTTCTAATCAGTTTGAAAATCGAACAAACTTGAAACGACGACTTCCGCTGCGCCAAATCAATACAGATTGTACATTTGCTGAGTACTCGTGGATTAAACAAAGTTTATAAAGCTCAGGTTTGTTGATATTTGCCCGTACTGGCTCGTACATTATTAAGTTGACGCGCGACAGGAAGAGACGAAAGCTAGTTTCCAATGTACAGGCAAGGACGACGTACCGATTTCAATTAAACATCACCGCGTCCGTGGCATCTCCTTTAAACTGTAGCTTGGATCACGGAATCCATTTGAATTTATTTAACCTATGAACGCCGCTCAGATATTCATTTCACGTTTACGATGCGAATGATTACATTTAATGGTAATAAGGGATTCGCTGGCCGATGGAAGCTTCGCCGGCAAAGCAATTCTGTGGCATTGAGTAGCGCCATGTGTGTAATTCCTCGACTTATGGTGGATAGTGATCTCGAAATTTAAGGCGAATACATCAGGCTAGAAAAGACACTCTGTACAAAATATAATTCATTATAATATTATACAATTTTCGTAGACAAAATATGAAAAGTATTTTCGAGATATACATATATATATTGCTCGGTCGAAATACGCGTTGATAGTCGGACCAAACCCCCGGAAATTTTGTTTTTAAACGAAAACTAGCAAATCTACAAATTGTCATAGAATTTATTTTTGCAGTCTCCTTAAAATTCAAAAGATTTATTTTCTTTACGATCTAATTTTCTGAATTAATTTTGTTTAGCTCCTCAGTGAAAAATCGTGTCATACATGTGTAGTTGAGTAATTATCTCCCAGCCGGTGTATCGAGCGATATATTTAAAAGTTCAGCGATTTTAAATTGTCGAATTGCTTGGAATTACCTCGGTCGAGGTATGTTCGTTACAAAGAGGTTCAAATGGCGAAAAAGGCAATAATCTGTCCGGGGAAAAGTTCGGTGCGTGTGCTGGATGTTGCGAATTGTCATAGTCGAATGCGGTTGGACAAAAATGCAACTTTAATGTTATAATGTGTGCACCGTGTGATGTCTGCAACCGAGCGTTGTTGTGAAAGAGAGCGAGCCCTGTGTCTGTTCATCAACGTAGTTCAATTTTGATTGAAATTTTTATGCGTATTTTCAATTTGTTCGCAATACGATACAATATTCTCAAACCAACTTCGTAAAAAAATTGTAGCGGTGCTAAAAATACAATCATTATCTAGAAATACGAGTCTGCAAATTCAATAACGTGATTGATTGTTAAAAGCACTATGGAAAACTGCACAAATATCGTACAATTTTTAAATAAAGGCCTTCCAGTGGTATCCCACGTGGCGCGTAAAAGGGTCTGGTGACGACACTGGTTGCCTCACAAGTATTCAATCCACGACCTATTTTTATGTATACACTACTTGAAAGATCATTGAATTCACAAAGTACACAAAAAAATTTATTGTAGTTTTGAAATAAAGAAAAGGTTCTTTGTTAGGTAATAGAATGATGCTTGAACACTTTCACAAATTTTCCAGAGCTATTTTCCAGAGAAAATGTGACTCGTGCGTAAGAAAATGGTAATCATTGCCCTTTCTCCTGCTACCTCGCTTATTTCTCCCTACAACAGCAAAACGCCCACATCGATACTAAATACTAAAAAAAAATTTCGTCGATACCACCAATCGTTTTCAAGGAAACTCGTTATAGTATACGGTGGTTAACTTTCTATACAAACGATAAGAGTAACTTGAGGGATCTTTCCTCAACGAAATATCAAATAGAAGTAACAAGTATCGAAATTATTCTGGACGTAGAGGGACCGGTGATCGATTTCGCCGTGGAACGGTCCTCGCTCGACAATGGAAACCTAGTGTAAATCAATGACGTTGGGAATGATAAGTGGCGCAGCCACGCAGTTAAAGGGTTCACGGGGCGAATCAATTGGATCGTCGGGGCTGTTTGGGGCGCTAGTAACAACCGGGTAGTATTTTTCTCCTGTGGCGAAGAAGGAGGCGCCGCGGCGTTGCACGGCGTCCATATAAAATGGGACATTATGCGAACCGATAATAGCAAGTTTAACGTCGGATCCAGCGTTCTTCCCCTTATCGTAGCGCCATAAAGATGGTCTAGCCGGTCGATGAAACGTGCACTAGAGTTTGATGATCGGCGTACCGTGACGATCACGTTGCAAAGCCCGGTTCGCCTCTACGTCGACACGAATTAGCGATGCTCCGGCTAACGTTTATATACGTTATATCGTATATTCCCCGACGGCGGCGCCGCAAATACACTGCTGCCTTGCGGTATCGTGTCAGCAGCGTAAATGCTGCCCCCGAAGCCCGTTTCTATTCCGCGGGGATCGCGCCATGCGCTCCGATCGCCGCTACTAGAAATATCTAACGAGTTCCTTTCAAGCGTCGCCATTTTTTCCTTGACCAAAACGGTCCTTTCTCTCGTTACGATCTTAACAAGAGGATTATTTAACGCATTGACTGCTACGTTATCCGCATATGGGCGACAGAACTAAAATAATTGATTCTCAAAATGAAATGTTAAAGAAAATAAATTGTAACAAGGTTACGAAAATAACTACCAAGACAAATTTTAAGTAATGTACTTCGCAATTGTCTAAAATTGAAGTTTTGGTTGCATAACAAACTTTACGGTTTTGATCTGACAGTTGACGTGTTAAAATAATGTATTTGTAAAGTTTTCGATCGTATTAGGGACGTTACAAAACAGCAAATCCATCCTGAACGTTTGCAACAGCGATTGTTGAGGCTCCAACGTCGCGTCAGGAGTGGAAAAAATCGGGACCAGAGTCGTTTCGTTTCGCGTTTCCATGGAAAATTCGTTTCACCGATCCCTCTTCGCGCGACGAACATACTTGAATTTATGTTTTATACGAGCGTCGCGGTTTAATTAAATTTTGTCGCGTACAATCGACGGGACATATGCACGGGACCGCCAGCGAACGATATATTTTAACGTGTAATTAGTATGTCGGGCAGAGTCAGCGGTCGAAATTGCATTCTTCTGGCAGCTGATTTGCTGGTCGTTGCAAACAGCAACGCGGCCTGCTGAACTTGATAATTACCATACCCTGATTAATCGTCGCCTGCTAATCGAGTAATAATTCTGCTAATGACGATCGCGTAATAACAACGTTGTATGAATAACCCGTCGATACGAATAATCATCGGGTATGAATAATACATGGTAAATTAATCCTCAAAACTAACACAAGTCTGAGGCACGGCCCTTTCAATCTGCCATACGTGCATATCGTATCAATTGCGAACTATCTCTCCCTCGTTTGCGAGGGTAGGTTGCCCGAATCATTAATAAGTAGTTCACAGTAAACACTTTGTACAGAGAGTGTTGTTCAACTCGAGCTGCTTAACACTATATTTACGGACGTTAATTACATTTGGTTTAACACAGATTTTGATCGAAAGTTGATATCATTGCAATAATAAAATTTAGTATAAATTAGAGACAAATAATATTTACGAGTTCTGTAATTTTAAGTAGTTTAAAGCCAGTCGATTTCACTGGTTTCGTAAATCTAGCGTTACGCGTCTCGATTGTTGTCGACGACACGAATGTCAATGGAGAAAAACTTGTCATTTTCGGAGATTTTATGGGCACCGATGCGTTTTAACACGCGGGAAGGACGCGACCGGATATACTTTCGCCGAAAAACGACGAAAGGGGGATGGAAGCGTCGAACTAATTAAAATGCAAATGGCCGGATTTTTATTAACGCCGAGAGTGACGGGGAACGTGTCGTAAGTAATGTCACGGTTTTTTACGGGTCGAGTATTAGCGCGGCTTTTATCTGGCCTGATTACCCCGATAGATCCATTTGTCTCGATTAACATGTCCTGTTAATTCCATCAGCCCGGAATTCTATTTCCTGTTAATTCCTTTCTGTCCCGTATTCGTTCGACGCGATCAAAGGCTCGCGGGTTGAGTTATTACGCTCGCCTCGTTCCCCGGGCCATCGTTCCTCTTTGTTCGCGAAGACGAACCGGCTGGTCGCTCGCTTCGCGCCCGGAGTCCGCTAGCGTGAATGTTTCAGCTCCGCAATTTGCCGGACCTCGCTTGAAATTCATGGTATTCTTTTGTACCGCGCACCTAATTGGGTCAAGCGCTTCGTAAATATTTGCTTCGGCGTACCGGTTACCGTCGGTTTAGTTGCGGGTTGGACAAACGCCCTTTCAGCGACGTCGCGTCCACGGAAGATTCGTCGATTATCGAGTCTGTTCGAATTAAACAGTCACCGGCAGAATCCTCGCGCGCGCTTTAACCAGTACGGAACCGAGATTCTCCAACGGACGCGCCTCGCACTTCAGTTTTCAAAGAAAAGGATTCACCGGGTCAACTAAAAATAAATCCCAGCTTTTAGAACTTTCAAAACTCGTCGATATTTATTTTCTTATCAGCTAACTATTTCAAGTTACCACTATTTCCAAGGATCCAAGCTATTTTCCATACGAAGAGAAATTATGAACTGAATATTTTCATATGAAGTATAGGATAAAAGGTTTAGTAATAGGATAATGAATTTGTTGCAATAAACATACGATCTAATAAGTAAAAGTTACATGCTGCATTTATGGACCGTTAAATGGAAATTAAGCTAACTATAAATAAATTCTGGTTTTTAGAATTCTCAATACTCTATATTTATTTTTTTATCAGCCAGCTATTTTCATACAAAGAGAAATTATGAACTAAATATTTTCATATCAAGTATACAATAAAAGATATTTTCTTTCCATTGAAAACTCGCTGATATATTTTCAGAGTAATGGTTAAAGGGAAATTAAGCTAAAAATACATTCTAGCGTTGAAAACTCTTAAAACTGGCCTATAATTATGTTTTTTTATCGTCCAACCGTGCACGTTACTCGACAGAGTCGATAAAATTCAAAAGGACCGCGTCTCTCGCGAGTTTCCTGTCGCGCGAAACGTCCGCGCAGCCGTTTGCTTTGAGGGTCTCGTACTCGCGCAAAGGTAAAATGCGTAACGAGCAGTTTCCCTTCGTTTCTTCTGTCTTCCTGCTCGACATTCCGACTGCGAGCAAACGTTAAGGCCGCGGGCGGAAAATGTAACGCGAGAACGTGCCGCGGAATATTTTATATCAGATGAAAATGTTTCATCGCGTTTGTTTACCCGTCGTATCGCGGTGTTTCTATCGCGTCGGCACACGCGATGCTTTATTACGCCCGTTGAACGACGCGTTTAAATAATTAACGCTCTTCGCTCGTCGCGGCGTGACTGAATTTTTCATCCAATATGGCTGATACGCAATATTCTTCGAGCGCGAGACGAACGATGATTTAACCCTTAGGTCATCGTGACAGACGAACTTCAAACAGTCGATTTTAATTATAAAAATTTGTTTAATACGTGGCAAATTTTGAACGTTACGTCCTTTCTTCGTCGATGTAAAAAGCACCTAACGGAGTCGAATTTACGGAGTGAAACGTAACCGGAAGTTGATAGAATTCGATGAACTTCGAGGGGTGGCGATCCGCGAATTCAATATGAAAATTAATGCCGGCACTTTGTAACGACGCTACCGAACGAATGTCCGTTTAATTTGCCCGGGGATTGCGTTCGCGTAGCGCCATATTTATATAACGAGCCCTCGTAGCAGGAACATTTCGTTTTGTATTGAATTTCGTAACGGAGGCAGCCGGATGTACGGGGGCCTCCGCATGGATAATAAACGACTTTCGGTAGTTCCACGGACTGCATTTCAACCTTCGTATTTTGAGAAGCTCGCCGTTCTACGAGCTACGCCGTCCTCTGCCCACATCCCCCTCCCCGCGTGTTACGTTCACCCCCCTCGTCACTCGTTCGTGTTCTACGCGCGCTCCGCAAGCAACTTCCGCTCGTAACTTGTATCTCTCTATTTTGTGCCGCAGGATATCATAGCTCATGGGCCAGGAATGGTGTTCCACGTCGTAAACCTCATCGTGATGGTACTGATGCCGATGGTGGTCATCCACGTGAAGGATTCCGGATGCAGCCTGAGTAAGCGCCATTTTACGTATCATTTCGCCCACGCGGTTTTCGTTCCCGCGATAGAACCGTCGGCGGCGCGGATCTCGTCGACCCGTTCGGAATAAAATATAGCAACTGGCGAACAATGCACGATCGCTGGTACCTTTCTGACCGTCGATTCCAGATCACTGTCGATGGAGTTCGTATTTTCCATTTTTCGAAAATGCAGTGTACGATTTTAATCCCCCCCGACGCTATAAAGGCTAGTATTATTTATAGCGAAACGCGCTGCACGATGCGTTTGCATTAGCTGAATTTACCAATTTTCGGTTTCTGTGGAAAAAAACCAATCTTTGGCCGCGTTTCGCTGTATATTCAACAGCTTTCATCGCGGACGAAGGTTATTGCAGTTACATAGAATATTTGATACGACGCCATGCTACTTTCGGCCCGTAACGAGAATTAAACTAGCATCGCGTAACGCGCGAACAGAAACGACTAATCAAAATCGCTCGAAAATTGATAATTTCTGCTAATGAGTGTAAATCAGTGGCATCTCGTTAATCAACGCATATTGGCAATCCGGATAGCGGACGCGACAAACACAGAGAACGTGGTAAACAGCACGCGACGAGACAGACTCGATCCACGCCTGGGTTAATTAAACAATTTCTTTTTAACCTCTTCACGCCCTTGGCCACATATGTGAACGTTTAGTTTTTTTTTTTATACAATTATAATTACTGTCAATAGTAAATAGACAAAAAAAAAAAAAAAGAAAGAAGAAGTTAAACTAGCATCGATCGATTTTAACGGCGTTAAACTAGCTTCAATTGATTTTAATCTCCGATTCTTTATCGTTAGTATTAACTTCGGTTTCGAATTAAATAAAGTTCCGAAGCTCACAGTAAAACGATGGTTGGATAAATCAATTGTTGCGACTAGGTATTGTTATGACGTTTCTGACACGACCTACGGACCTTTATGTTTTAAATATTGGAAATTTGTACAGACGATTCATGTCCAAAATTGTTCGGTTACAGCATACAGAATATCAATTTGTTGATTGAGGCTTCGTTTAAAAGTTAATAAAAAATTAAATTAAAAAATTTCAAATCATTCACGGAAAAATAATTTTCGGTTGCGGGGGTCAATTGCAATCATTTCTGGTCGTTACACATACCCCGAAATTCTACGCACTTGCGAATACAAAATTCCTAATCGAAAATGTAATTTATGGTCAGAAATGTTGCCCGAAAATTTCATGCCAATCTTTGAAATGTCATAACTTCTGAATGGATTGGACGATTTTAATGTTTCAAAATGCAAACGATGCGTATTTTAGTGAAGAATATGTGGAAATTCTAAAAATAATTAAAAAGTTGATCCTTGACCCCGTAAAATGAGAAAAACCCCATAAAAAATGGTCCAATTTTCAAACAGCCATAACTCTTACAATAGTGAATATATTTAAATGAAACTTTTTTCTGACGTAGAGTTCATGGGTACCTACAAAAGAGTATTAAACAACTTTTCTGTAGGGCGTTAAACAAAATTATTAAAAATCAAAAACGAATTTTTAAGAAAAATCGACAGGGTGTAAATTTTTCGGCGAAAATGAAAAATTTCAAATCATTCTGGAAAAATTATTTTCGTTTGCGGGGGGCAATTGCAATCATATTTGATAAATAGACATACCTCCGAAATCCTTCGCACTTTCGCAAAAAATAATCAGAAAGTTGGACAAAGTTGACAAAATTAAAAAATTTCAAATCGTTGTGGGAAAATTATTTTCGATTAAGGGGGTCAATTACAATCAGTTTTGGTGAATAGACACATCCCCGAAATCCTATGCACTTTCGAGAAAAAAATTAGGGTAGGTGGACAAATTTGTCGACAAAAGTAAAGAATTTTAAATCGTTCTGGAAAAATTATTTTTGGTTACGGTGGTCAATTACAATCATAAAATTATTATGCGTGTGTATATCATTTTGCCGTGTTTGTTATAATCTTGTCGCCGATAAAAGCCTCCAATAATACTTCTATTTCGAAATCTGTTTCTCTTGATATCGATTCTTCACAATCGACTAAAATGAAAATTATTAACGGGGTTATATATAGAAAATTTATTCTTAAAATTTCCAAAGGAATAATCGTATTTCCATTGAATTATTATAGTTCAATTTATTATTTAAATCCTTTAATTGAAACTGATATCCGAAAAAGGGATATTTTGTCGCCAGATTCGGATTCGATGCACTAAAATGGATAAAGCGCGCCCGGTTTCGTTCGAAGGTGGATTTCGGCGTCAATGAAATACGCGAAAAGGCCGTATCGAGCGTCTTGAAAAGCAGCGAGCCGTCCAATCCCAGGGATATACAGTTTACCTGTAGCTCGCGAGATCCAAACAAACAATTAAACTCCGCGAGAACTGAAAAAAGTTTCTCGCGGATCGAGTCGGTCGCGAGGAGCTCGCGAATCTCAATTAAGAGAGATTTTATTGGCGCGACTTTGGGGATCGTCGGGAAACATGCGAAGCGCCTCGGGAACGATCGAAGAAAAGCAATTAAAAAGTAAGCACGGCAGAGAATGCCGAGGTAGTCTGCTCTCTAATTAAAGGATTTCAAATTAAAACATCTTCGAGAACGGACGCGATACCGCGACTCGCGATCGGTACAACCGTTCTGCGCCGAAACTCGATCCTAACGCTGACGTATTATCATAAAAGTAGTCGTTCGAAAGTTTCGCGGACCGATCGTCTGCCGATTTTCGCGTTAATTAAAGAAACTCGGATTAAAGCAACGACAAGTATAATAAGCTTCGCGTCTTGGAGGTGGTACGACGAAACTTTCACTGTCCCATTCGTCGTCCAATCAAGAAATTTTTTAACAAAGTCAGCGATACAGCTTGGAAAATAATTCTTACGCTCGATCGGCGATAAATTATTGAAATCGATTGGTTGCTCAATAATTACGAAATATATTAAAATACGAAACGTATAAAACGACTGCATTTTTTGATTTAGAGTAATGAGTCTTAAAATGTACGTGATTCGTAAGTTGAACATTTGTATGTTCATTTGAAGAATCGTTATTGTAATTCCAAACAGAAAGAGAATTTTCGTACTCGGGTCATTCCATGCGAAGTCGGACACCTTTCGGAGTACCATGTCGGATTTTGTTCTACTTTGAATATGTTGTAGACTTTAGTGATATATAAACGTATCTCGAAGGATTTTAAAAAATTTTTATTTGATACTCCCATGGGTCTGCTACAAGTACCTAAAATTTAATTTTTATAACTTCCTTACATTAGTAGCTATTATTTATTGAAGAAAAGTGAGTTCTATATTTCAAACAGATGTAAAACCAACAATTTAAAAAATTTTTAAAAATTCTTCGAGATACGTTTATATATCACTAAAGACTACAACATATTCAAAGTAGAACAAAATCCGACATGGTACTCCGAAAGGTGTCCGACTTCGCATGGAATGACCCACTCGTAATTTGCGGTCGCCCAGTATTTCTTGTGAATTTTCCGTTTCTTTGGCTCGGCTTAAAGATGTCATTGTTTCACCTCGCGTCCTACAATATTAAAAATACAATGACGCTCTCGTTACGCGGACAAATCTCCGAGATCTCGAGGCGGGTCGGCACCATCGTGGCACGTAACCCATGTAGAGATTCGTACGTCAACCAGTTCGTACATCCGGTTGTGTAAGCGCTTCTTAAAAGTTGTGAAGTCCCGCGCGAGTGTGCCTGCAGCCTGAAAGTAGGCGCGCGAAGTGGCTGTACCACGAGCACAGAGGCTCGTTCTTCTTTTCTTCCTCGGCCTCGGTTCATCCACCGTCTTTCTTCCCTTCCACCCTCGAGATCCGTGACCCTACGCGAGAGCGTGTCACTCGAAACTATAGGCACTCGTGCCAAACACTGAGGAGCCTCCGCAGTGGCTGCAGAATCAGTGGTTCTTTTTCTCAACATAGATCGTACGGTTTTTGTTAAAAATCGGTTTCAGAGACACCAGGAAGAGGGCTTCTAGTATTCAAAGTTTAATATAATTGGCATTAGATTTTGGGTTTCAGATTTATTTATTTATTATATGGGTAGGAACCCATTAGCGTACAAAAGAAATTACAGTATTTTTAGAGTTGAAGTAGAGAACTGTGTCTCACCTAAATATCTCCTTTGTTTTTAATGCCAGAAAAAATATTTGCATCATCGAAGAAATATTTTTTGTTCGGTTATTTTTTCATAGTTTGTTTCTATGTCATCGTTATTTTTTTTACATCAGGAAAACTTATATTTTTTTTTTTATTTCATCGTGCAACGGCTAAAAAAATACATTTGAATATGCTTGAGTCATAACCTTCGGGTGACCTTAAGTACTAAAAATGTGATAAAAATGATTTCACGTATAACGTTACAGAGCTCATAAATATTAACAATTTATGTTGAACTTAAATATTGTAATGATACGAATGTATGCCTTGATTGAAAAATAAATTACATATTTACTCTCCAAGTTTCAACTAATTATATATGTCAATGTAATTATTTGAAAATTCATGTAAACTTCTATTAGTTCATTACTTTTTAAATGCTTTAAAGTTGATTTCCATTTATCAATTTGGTAAAAATCAACATTAAGTAAAATAATTCAGTTGGGATTGAGAGTCCACTTAAGGGTTAATAAAAATGCATGGAATCGATACCCATAGGTCTAGTGTTAAAAACTAGTCGAGGAAAGACGTTTTGTCTTTCGAGTGAACGCAAAACGACGTCGAGTCCAGCAATTATCGACGAGGGGTTTTTTATTCGAATTCTCTTTGCGCGGTGCGGAGAATTAAAGACGTCGATGCTCGCTACTTAGGGACGCGACTCGGGAAGCGTGGGCTTTCAAGGGGGTGTAAATTTAATGAAAGAGAGGTTCCATTTGTCGGGGGTTGTCTGGAATTGCATAAAGGCGCGGAGTGATTTTTCTTGTAACTACGGAGGAGTAACTCCTCCCAATTAGCAGCGTCGTGCGAA